ATCCAAAGTCAAGGTATGCATTGTAGTGTAAGCACCTTAAAGCTACATTTAATAAATTTCATATTAAAACTAAATAGCGACATTTCATTAATTAATTGGGTTTTATATCGACTCCAGGTCTTATTTTGGTGTCCAGACAGCCAAAATTAGTTTTATTAGCATAAAATGGGTAACCTCATTGTGGCGAAATGGGATGTACAATTGATGTTTGCATGAGAATCTCCGCCTTCGGATTATCCGTACATCAATCTTGAATCAACTAACATGACTATAAGTAGCAGTCCTAATTTAACAGTATATGTCCGCATTGTAACGGATGTTTTCATACAAATTTAATCCTTTTACGAGATGATTACTTTCACTGAACCTCAGGCTTTTATTTTTACATATTTATTTAATGTAGCTTTAAGTTGTGACAGACAAACAAATATCAATCAGTTACGTAAGCAACTCTTAACTTTTATCTTATAAAATGTTCTACCTTTGCTTTGAGGTTATAAAACTTTTTTCTTTCGAGTCTTATCTCAAGTCTAATGATTTTCATTGGTCAGTGTACATTCTGTGGGAGTTTCTGACCAATCAAATACCTGTGATCTGATTTTGAGCTGGGTGAATTTCTTTATAACTTCTGACCCTTGTGTAGACTCAATGATTCGGAAAAAGTGCAATAATGTTTGACATTTAAATGATTGAAAAAACATAATACTGATAATACTAATCATAGCCTGTTAATTCACCAAACATCTCTTCTTATAAAGGACAAACAAAATTTGCAGTATCATTAGAACATCTTGCAACATTCTTATATAACAAGAGCTGTCCGTAAGACAGCGCGCTCGACTTTTTTATTGCTTGCCAATAAAAAAAGTTTTTGCAGTAAAAGGCAATACAAGAATCTCTGTATTTTTAAAGTGAACAATGGCCATAATTCAAATAAAATCTTTGACAGAATTACCTTCTCCTGGACATGTTTGGGAATCATGATTGTAAACAAGTATTCCAACTTTCAAATTAATATCTCAAACAGTTCAGTCAAAAAGTGGACTGGTACTAAAAACTTAACCAAGATTCTAAGTCGATAAAGGCCTTAATTTTTAAAACAAATCCTTGACAGAGTTACCTTCTCTTGCGTACAGATGGGGGTAATGATGTGAAATAGCATTAAAAGTTTCAAAGCAATATCTCAAAGGGTTAAGGCAATAAGTGGATTTTACCCATATTCCATGTATTTTCTAAGTCAAAAAGGGGCATAATTCTGTCAAAAACCTTGACAGAGTTATGTCCTCTTGTCTGTTGATGAAGGTCGTGATGGTAAACAAGTATGGTCAGTTTCAAAGCAATACCTCCAATGGTTTTGAAATAAAGTGAGGTGGTACAAAAAACTTAACCAAGCTCAATACACTTTCTAAGTCAAAAAAGGGCCATAATTCTGTCAAAAACCTTGACAGAGTTATGTACTCTTGTCTGTAGATGGAGGTTATGATGGTGAACAAGTATGGTAAGTTTCAAAGCCATACTTGTAATACTTCTGAAATAAAGTGGGGTGGTACGAAAAACTTAACCAAGGTGTGACGCCAACGCCGACGCCGGGGCGAGTAGGATAGCTCCCCTTTTCATAGAAAAGTCGAGCTAAAAAGGACTAAAAACAAAATGTAATGGTACATACACCTCTTTTATACCAAAAATGCATTTTGAAAATCAAAACTCCAGCAATTTGGTGTTAAATTATTTGAATGCAAATTGGCAAAAGCATGTGATTTCAATTTCTAAAAACTTTCTAAAATGACTGTCCAATATGATGCTAGTAATTGTAACATTACATCCGCATTTTCAGTATTATAGCTTAAAATCGGCTATTTTTCCCTCTTTTGCCCATGTTATAACGGGGCCAAAACCATGCGTTAACATAGTCACGCGCTCTTGTTATAGCCCGGTTTTACCTATGCGCAATACATACAGGGCCCAGTAAACAAACAAAAAATGACGATTTGGCCTGTTTGCCAGTCATGCGCTCTTGTTATATTGGAATTATTAATTCGAGGGCCTCAGTCACATAACCGGGAGCAGCATTCAAGAAATTATGCCGGCAATACGGCGTATAGACATTGCCGCTTATCTTGGTTGTCGCCCTTTCTTAGAAACGGACAGTTGTCAATGTAAACAAATAGAATCTGTCATTCAGTTTAATCCCCCGATTAACTTACAAAAATGGAAAGCACAAAATGAATATAAGAAAACGTTGTTTTATTGACGTTTATATTGATAAATGTTCTGTATGTTTCTTTGAGAGAATAATGTTTTATGCCTGATTTTTTTTAAACTTGCGTGCTTAAAAAAAACCGATTCTGAAATTGAATATGATGTCACTGATCTTTTTCCTACCGCCAATCTGTAATCATTCTAGGAATTTCTGAGGCGCCTGTTTTGTCTTGGGTAGAGTAATGTTATGCTTTTCTTAAGTTAATATATCTCCAAAGTTAAACTTTGTTAAATCAATTAAAATTCAAAATTTCGTTCGGTTCTCAAGTTGTTGGCCCCGGAAAAAATAAAACGCATACGTAAAACATGTAGAGTTGGATAAATACCGTTCAAGCACAAGGATTTTATGTTTGTGTTTTGTATATAATAAACATCATGAATCTGTTTTAAAATTTTATGCTATAATAGCGTCAACGCACGTTTATTTCGTGTTATAAAGTCTGCAGAGTCCCTCGGAACTGTTGGAGCCCTCGCCCTACCGGGCTCGGGCACCAACCATTCCTCGGGACTCTGCAGACGTTATAACACGGAAAAACGTGCATTAACCCTATATTATATCCTGATAATTTACTAAAGCCAATGCCATTTATTTTACGATAATTTATCTAGCATAAAATGTATGAAATAGGAAGAATCTTGTTAATTACAACTTTAAAGGGCAATATTGTCATATCTGCCTTGGTAGGTCATATCAAAAATAAAATACCCTAAAGTATAAATATTAATGTATATTCAAATATCAAATAACAATAACATTTTGCTAATAAAAATCATTCAATGCAACCTATTTTGATGATATATCACACTGGCAAGGGAAGCAACCTTGCAATTGATAACTCCATGACGAGTAATTTAATATTGTTCAGGTGATTCACATAATGATTCACACAATACATGTATTTACTAATCTATAAAAGCATGCCCTGAGATTATAAAAAAATCTCCAAGCTTAAACTCATATCTCAAGTATTTGATTGGTCACAGAATGAACACTGACCAATGAAAATCCTGGGATTTGAGACAGAACTCAGAAAGAAGTTTTATATAACCTTGAGGCCATATGTCTACATAATCAAATAATAATTTCAAAATCTTGTTGCATAATATATATTAAGGCTATAAATGTCTTCAGCAGTGGATGGCATCATGCAATTTGATATGTCCAATTTGTGTAGTTTTTGGTACGATGATATTACATGTATAAAGGCACATTATGTTTGGCAGTGCATCTTAAAGTGAATGTATCAGCAGTGAAAAACAATGAAATAAGTAATTTGTTACCTTAGTGCATTAACGGGTTAAATCATTCTAAATCTAATAGGAGTTAACCAGTTATTGCACTAAGGTGTATTAATTTGTTATAAAATATAAATATAGTATTATAATAAATATTCATAGTCTTAAATAAATTTAATTATATATATATTATCTCACTAAAATGTATTGTCTTATGCAAATATTGAAGAAAAAATGAATATTTCACACTTAAGTTTTGTAGTAATTTTGATATACTTTGAATTCAATTAATTTCGTGGACATGAAATTTAGTGGTTTTGTTACAAAGAACATTTTTTGTGGGTAACTTATATTTTTTGGACTGTTAATTTTTTCCAAAAGGTTAAATGTAAATTATGTGATGCAAAATAATCAATTAAATTTCATTGGATCTTAAATTCCTGGATTCTTTCATTGTCATTTTATAAGGCATGTCAATATTCAAGTTATTTCAAACTTATGATTTTTTTGCATGTCAATTAAAAACTTTTGGGCAAATTCTCTGTTCAAGCATTTTTTGTTTCAAAATTTGTTTCATCAATCTTTTATCTCTTAAACCTTGTGTACTTGTGAAATGAAATGCAAATGCTTTCATCAAAAAATGTATAATTATATACATAATCACCTGATTTGCACAGTAATGTTATTTGCTTTACTTACAATTACAGTTCAAAGTTCATTCACTCTTAACTTACTATTCTGTCAAGTTACACAACTCTTGACATTTACAAATTTACAAAATAAATTAACACATTTTTGTCACAAACAAATTTTGAATAAACCGTTGTTTTTTTGTATATTGCACACAATTTCACAATGAATAAAAATTATTTAAAAAAAAAAAATTTTTTTTACACTTTTCGCTATAACTTTGACCAATTTGTGTGATTTATACCATTCGGTGTGGCCGGTGTTGTCGGTAAACTGTCTGACAACATGGTCACCGCTGTATGAACACTTTGATTACTTTTACAATTCGGCAACAACGCCAAATCTTTTGGTGGTGGAGGTGGAGACTCTTCTTTAGTCCCATTGGAGTCTGTTTCTTCCTCGCTCTTTGGCATTTTATATAAAATTAAAGCTATGAAGAAAAATAAAACGGAGAAAAATTTCCCGCTTAAAATCACTGCGAGCATGTTGTTGCTCATTTGATGATTGTCATAGATAAAACACGAGCCCTGCTCGCTACATTTGCTCTGCCACAGTTTACATGTCATGTCGATAAGTTTCCCGAATAAAATAGGTCCAGGTATCGATCCTGAAATTTAAAAAATATAAAATGCATTTGTTTAGAATACTTATGTCAATACACCTTTTTTATAGAAATTAAATGCAGACACATAAGAGACTTGTATACAAAGGGATACGAGGCTCCCAAAATAGAATATTTTCACGGTCATGTAAGTATACAAAAGATCATTTAAAGGCCCATTATATCAAAGAAATGCTATAATTTATATTTCTCCATTGGTATCTTGTTTAATATGGATTTCTGACGCATAAAGTGCTTTTAAAGAGACCTACCCAGACATCTAGCCATTATCCACTGTATACCCAATGCTAAAGATCTTTGACTGTCGGGAACACATCTAAAAAAATACAAATATTTCATACTTTTTATAATGAAAGGAGGGAATTTTTTTATCAATAAAAGATCAATGTTTCATTACAATAAATATATACTATGCTCATCTTTGAGTAAAATAATTTTTGAAATCTTTGAAATTCTTACTGAATATGTTTAATTAAAAGAATGTACAAACTATGTATTGAAAGCTGCATTCCCTATTAACAGTTCAAGTAACCTTTGTCTTTCTTTTTCCTGCCAGTTTTTAATGACACTTCAGATTATGGCCTCTTATAATGTGTAAAGTTTAAAACATAACATATCTACTTTCTGTTAGAATTTTCTTTATTTCAAATACCAAATTTGAGCATAGTACATCTTTTGCACAATTAATAACAATAATCTTTCTGTGAAACAGACTAAAGGAATGATCTGAAATTTTTCACACAAGTTAATAGTCCATCCCTCCATCCAATGGTACAAAAGTCTCAAAAACTCCCTTTAAAGGGACTCCACTAAGATTTTTTGACATGATGGGACTGGAAATATTTTTCCAAGATTTGTCCACTATTTAATGAAGATCTGAACAAGTACCTTCTGTGCAAATTTTAAGATCATAACCTTACCCTGTTTTTCCAGTACATTCATCTTTATTGTACCAAATGACACAAAATTACAAACGTTGCAATCACAAATTGGGCTAAAAATCGCACACAAAAAATATTGATTTTCTATTTAGTTCTGAGCACATTTCTTTATTACCCTTTGCATATTTTTTCACTTTTAGTTAAGTGCTTCAATTGACCAATGTAAAGCCTAGGTCACAAATAAGAAAATGCCGCCGGGCGGCGTCTGTTTCTCCAAAAAAATCGCAATATCGGCCGGCGTCCGTCCGGCGGCAGTGACAATCGGACGGCAGCAGCTGAAAATTTTGCTCATCGGGCGGGTGCCTTCGAGTTTTAAGTAATACTTAAAAGCTAACGGCGGCCGGACGATAATTTTTGGGGTCACTGAGTATAAATATCATCGAGCGGACATCGCTCGGTCGCCGGGCGGCGACAGGGCGATGCTTTTTTGATCAGGCAATTTTTTGTTCTACTAAAACAGCGTCCGATTTAAAAGGCGACCGGGTGGACATCGGCCGGGCCCCGCCCTGTGCCTGAATAGAGACAAGTAGTCAAACGATTATCGCCCGGTACCCGGACGATTCATGTACAGGCACCGGGCGGTCATCGTTTTGTCATCCGGCGACCGGGCTGCTTGTGTCTGTTGTAATTTCAGCTTGAAGGAGTTGTAATTGAATTATCTAGGATGTCATTAAATGTAAAGTCATTGTCGCCGGCGCCCGCGCGGCAACCGACCGATTCACTTTTAAATTGCACAGGCGCCATGCGGACATCGGCCGTGACCGCCTGATCCGTTCAATTATTTCTGTAAAACCACTCGGCAAAAAATCGCCCGAAGACTGTTTCATTCATGACCACGCAAGGCATCAGATTTAAAATCGCCCGGCATCCACGACATCAAAAAATCTGCCGATTTTATAAAAATCGTTTAATTGGACGGCGCCCGTTTTATTTGTGACCTAGGCATAAACAAAATTTAATTTCATGTTTTTAGGCTTTATGACCAAAGTGGAGTTCTTTTAATCTTAAAAACTTACCTTAAAGTTGCTGACAATGCCGGCATGGTAACCGTAAAAGTCAGCAACATTAAAATTGCACAAACTCCCATAAACATTGGCAGATAGGCACAACTTGTCTCACACTTTCCTTCAATTGCTTCGTATGCCGGGACAGTCAAGTTTCTGTCAAACATCACGCAGGAACAATTACTGTACATCTGAAACAGATGATCTTCTATGTTATATTGTGTTATATCTTATGTTATAGCTCATGCTCAGTGTAAAGATTACACATACTTACTTTTTTCATTCTTGTACATTTTAGTTGCATATAATATTTTATTATGGTTTTTTTTTTTATAAGAAAATTATAAAAGGGCTGTTCAAAAGAAGATTGAATTTAAAAGAAATGACCATAATTTTTATACAACAAACCAGATTACTACATATGTCTGCAAGAACAACTATTTTAGAGTTTTGAAAAGAATACAATTGATAAAATGTGAAAAAAAAAATTTTTTTCCCTGCAAAAAACAAAAACAAAAAAAAACACTAAAAGAAGCCAATTTATAGTTCAATGAAAAACAACCAACTTATAGATCTGCATAAACGTTCTGAAAAAAAGTTAGTGATCTGCAAAAAAAAACAACAAAAAAAAAAAAAAATTAACAAAACTCAGATATCTACAAAAACAGCAACTTTTAAGTCTGCAAAAGAGATAAACTTACAAAGTCCCGAAAAAACACACCACTAAACTTAAGGGTACATTATGACATTAGACAGCAAAATTCAAATCAATTAACAAGTAAATGATATAATAGCGGATATATCATACCTTATGATCTCCCATTGTTTCAGTGAGGCAGCCAGCGTAACATGGATTATAGTACACGAGACCATCTATACCACACACAGGATTGTACATTTCCTCACTGCAGTGACAACCTTCGTTACACGATGAGTCCAAGTTACCTCCCTTGAATGAACTGTAATACAACATTTGAATTTTTTTTAAAGGGACACCACTGAGGCTTCTTTGACATGACAGGACGGGAAAGTTAATATTTTTTTACAGATTTGTAAGCCAATTGATGAAGGACTAGACCAATAACTTGTGTGCACATTTTTAGATAATTCCCTCATCCAATTTTTCCAGAAAAATCATTTTTAATATGCAAAACAATCCCAATATAAATCAAAGCACAGAAGGCGCTGAATTTGTTTGGGTCTCAGAATGTAAGAAAGGTGCAGGTTGTGAGATTATATGTTTAGTGCCACCAATGCTTTCCAGCGTTTTAATTGTAGTAAATTGGCTATAAGACTAATTGCAACACTGATATTCAATCCAGTGTTTATTTGACTTTAACAATTTAAAAAAATGAGTTCAGGGTAAACCTGTTGTTTAAAATTGAAGTAAATATTACTGGGATTTGAACTCCAGACCTCTCGCTTCCTAAGCGAGCCCGAAAACCCTTCAGCCACGGTTAAATTTATATGTGAACGGCCTGAAGAAAACCATATTATTCTATATTAGGGCTTGTAACGACTTTTAACTGTTGTTTAACACAGATGTAAATAATCCTGAAGCTTACTATAAGCATGTATATTTATAAAGAATCAAAGGGCTTCAAGTTCTTTGGTATTTTCTGATCTTTGCAATCTAAATCGTACTGTATATCTGTATGCATTTTCCTGTATAAGTTTATTTTTATGTATTATAATTCATTTTGTAAGGCACATACGGAATTCTGCATAACTAGAGTTGCATCAAAAAATCATTTATGTACTTTTTTTACGACAGCCACACTTTATCCTTGTAAATCATGGCTACTTCCTTAACAAAAACAATTAAAAAAAGAATTTAACAAAAAAAAATTTTCCTCGACTGGGATTCGAACTCGAGACTTCTCACTCACTAAGCGAGCGCGTTACCACTGTACCACGGAGAAGTTATACGCAGAATGTCTGAATAATATCAAGTCATTCTAAATTTAGAACTTCCATTGCATTCAGGTTTGTAATCCTTATTAATTTCGAGGTATTTTGTTCAGGGTAAACCTGTTGTTTAAAATTGAAGTAAATATTTTAGCGAAAATCCTCTCGCCCAAACAGTCCGACATGTAGAATCTATATATTCCACTACTCGGTTTGTGTAGTATTCGGTAATCTACATGGCTAAAAATAGTATTTTCATTGATAAAATCATATTCATCCGCGTAATTTGTGATTGTGCATTTATTGACAATTCTATAAGCCAACGCTATTGTTTAACTTTAAATGCGTTGTAATTTGTTGGATACTTGTAACAAAATAAAATATTTCTTTCTTTTAAATCGCTAGTTTTAAGCTGTTTTGAGAACTACTTGTTGTTAGGTTTGTCATAAACTTCTGTGTCAGAGATTGAATGTCCGCTTTGTATTTAGTTATTTTCGATCAGAAAATACCAGAAAACAATATTAGAAATCTTCGACCATTCGGGAATTACTTTGCTTGAAAATTGATGCGTCTGTCTTTGACCATCTTTACGCAGTGATCTCCCCTGAATTTTTCGGCTTTAGTGTACATACAAAAGGGAAGTAACCGCTTCAAAAAAGTGGACTACTTTCGGCATTTGCAATTAAGAACATTAGACTCTGAAATTTCGCTACCATTATTTGTTTGGTCTGACGACCCAAACAAATAAAAAGCTGCAACACTTTCCAATAAAATCCAGCTAGGAATCATACTAGAATCGATTTTCAATTTGATTTTAATTTGGTGTAATTTTTATTATTCTTTGCAGAGTTTTCTATTTTAAGTGTTTCACTTGATATTTAAAAGCGGAACATGTTTTGAAAAAAATGTGTTTTTATCTATTTATCCTAACTTAGTATTTATAACCTTTCTAAAATTTCAGGGTTTTAGGCCTTTGGAGTTCCTTTAATGTCTAAACTTTTCAATTTTTTATCAACATTTGGTGTCTTACTTATAATTTCTATGACTGCATTAAATGGTTTCTAACAGACACTAATGTAATTGTATAGCATGGAACAGGAGATCTTTGACTGACTTTTCTTCACATATATCAACTTATACCTAGATTCCTGCAACCTGTCATGGACCACATGTCAGTGGGTATATTTTGCAATACTAGAAACAAAAACGTCTGACAGATTCAATGTTGCAGGACATGCATGTCATTGTTAGATATAAAACAGCGACTACCATGCCCTGATAACAGCAACAATACTGTCAATTATTGCAGGTAAAATGCCTGCTACAAATCAAATAACCCCCTGATTGGTTGTCATGTATATAATACTGACATCTGTGACTGGTGTGTTTCAGATTATTTTTTTTTGATAGCTGTTTCATATGGCATAATCAATTTATTTTATACAAAATATTATCATGTTTTTTGTTGTGACCTGAAACTGATGCTGTTAAAATCATATGGTTATATAGTTTCTTCCAGGGTGTAATTTGTAGAGGTAACAAGCTGGCCTTTGAGGTAAAATACAATTGCTTTGAAAACAGCACTTTCCATTGTCATTATCAGAATTAAATATTTTAAATAAAATATTTGAAATGAGCAGCTAAGAATCTTTTTTATCATTTCATACTTGTGTAAAAAAATTATGTGCACTGTCCAGGTCTTTTTCAGTCCACATAAAGTAGAGCCCCAGAAAAGGAACAGTCCCCATACCAAGCAAATAGAAAATTGTTTCGTGTTAAGAAAGACTGAACCAGTCAGGATGACAGAACTTACCTATTTACTGCTATATTGCCATACTCAATATTGACTCCAGCAAACGGTATGTTCCCACAATGCATCAGGAATATGAGGGCGAGAAAGAGAACAGCTATCGTCAATGCTAGACAAAGTTTGATGATTCCCCGTACATGGAGGTCGAACTTTTTCACAAGGTATCCACCCAGAAATGTTCCCCCTCCTCCAGCAGGGATTGCTGCATAGCCTGTCAATAGAAACAATTTACTATAAAGCAGTCTTCATCCTAAGTTCTCTTTTTAGTGGTGGTCAACCTTTATCTAACAATAAGGTCTAACATGGGTAGTCTATGATGATATCACGTGGTCAGCAGCAAAACAAAGTTCATATAGACCCTGTTTTATCGGAGAGAAAGTAAAATTGAAACCATTTAAATGATTTAAAAATATGATTTAACTGGACAAAAGCAGGATGTCGGTTTGCTTCGAAAGTCAATCTAGGCTCGATAAAGCTTACTAAGATATACCTTCTGGCTCACTGGATAAACCTTCTCCATTCTGACATTAACAATGTATGCTCTATATCACATTAAACAGTTTAAAACCGAGATGAATATGGAAAGAAATGAATAAAATAACTTAATAATTGATTATTAAATTATTAAAAACAAAACTTGACCAACAACATGAGTGGTTCAAATGTCATCTTACCTACATACTGGGCTGCAGTAGAAGCTGACAGTGCAAACTGGGCCTCAATAAACTTTGGCATAAATGTTGCTATTCCACTTAGTAAATTACCTGAAAGGTAAATGAATTTATTCAACTCTATCAAGCCTCCATTCCCTATAAACTAAAATGCTGAAACAATATTGACACATAAAAGTTCAGTAAATAGGGGTTTATATAACAAAAGAATGAAAAATGAACAAAACCCCAAACCTCAAAATTTTATAGAGTGGACAAAACCCCAAACATAAATTTAACAGTGTGGACAATACGCCACACCCAAAGATATTATCAAGTGGACAAAACAACACACTTTCTGACAATATGTTCTCTCCATAAAATTAAAGGTGTGGGGTTCTGTCCTACATTCAAAAAGAACATGTCAATCATTAAAAAGTTTGTTCACATAAAAAACTGATGAACTTTTTTCATTAACTTTACTTAACCTCAACTCTGCATAATCTAGAAACTTGTTACCTTTAAGTTCAACAGAAAGTGCAAAGATGTGATTGAAATTTTACATACAAATTTTAAGCCCAGACGCCAATGAAATGATACATAAATCTTATAATTTTTTTTCAAGTCTCATCATGTCAAAAAAAAAAATCATTGGAGTCCCTTTAATACAAATACTTTCAAGTCAGATCCTTTAAGGCATGTTTCAGCTGTTTGATAAGTATCATTGATGATTCTTCACAAAGCTCTTAACTTTGCATACTACCTCAATTTTTTTTAATAAACCACAACAACTGAACTCTTCAATCAATAAGCAGTAACCTTGGTGTAATAACTATGCAATAAAGATAAACATTTATTCCATGATGTAGGTAAATCTGCCTCGAACAAAGCTGCAGCTTACATCATTGCAAAAAAAGAAAAAGGATTTTTATTGTCAGTTTGTTTTTTACAGCAATAAAGTCTTCTGCAACTGTTTGACTTAAGAAATAAGCAGCAACATATAAACGTGCCCATCAACCAGCTTAGACCACCTGCCAATCCGTGAACATAATCTTATGTCAATTATTATTTGTCTCAAAACTGACACTTTTCAAATAATAATTATTTCTAAGGAAAAAAAAGTAAAAGATTTTATTACAAGAACTGTCATTGAAATATGCAGAACATAATCATTTTGGGATAATTGATAAATTGTGGCAGAGGGTTCTACCTTCTTTATGCTTCAACTGAGAAAGAACTCAGAACTCAAAATTTTATAGAGTTGACAAAACCCCAAACATAAATTTAATAGAGTGTACAAACCCCAACACCAAAAATTATTATCTAGTGGACAAACCCCACCCTTTCTGATAATAGAGGTGTGGGGTTATGTCTTCTATATAAAAATTAAAGGTGTGGGGTTTTGTCCTACATTCAAAAAGAACATGTCAATCATTAAAAAGTTTGTTCACATAAAAAACTAATGAACTTTTTCATTAACTTTACTTAACCTCAACTCTACATAATCTAGAAACTTGTTACCTTTAAGTTCAACAGAAAGTGCAAAGTTGTGTCTGAAATTTTACATACAAATTTTAAGTCCAGACGCCAATGAAATGATACATAAATCTTATGAATTTTTTTCAAGTCTCATCATGTCAAAAAAACCTCATTGGAGTCCCTTTAATACAAATACTTTCAAGTCAGATCCTTTAAGGCATGTTTCAACTGAGAAAGAACTTTTTATCTCATGACTTCTTATGATGATGCCACTACCCATGTAACATGTATTATCAATATAATCGAACTCAAAATATTTCTACCCAGGTGGTCTATGTATGCATTTTATAGTCATCTTATTTGCACATGCAATGTATTCTAGACAATGGCATCAAAGTGTAAAACATCTTTTTCATTTGACAAAAATGTACTCAAAATAGGACTATTACAAAGACTGTGCATATAAGGCTAGAGTGTCTTGGATTTGACTGTTATATATTCACACATTATTTAATATTTTTACTTTTCATGAGGGGACTAAAAAAATGTAAACATGAAATATTGATGCATATATTAATGTTCACAAACAAGCTTTTTGTTGACTAACTTACCTTCGCATGCTCCTGCCAAGTTGAGAAACATGAACGTTGGATTGGTAACCAAGACTTTGACAGATTTTAAAATCTGCTTATAACTGAGAACATTTTCTGTATCTTGGCTGGCTTCCTGGTAGTCTTGTTTCCGACCTTTCTTGCTGTATACTTCTTTCCCTCTCTCAGCTTTGTACTGCTCGGAACCAGGCAAGGCTGTAGGGAAACCAGCAATAGGAAGTGCTACAAGGAAAGCCAGGCCTGCACTGATGAGGAAACCAATCCACCAGGCTCCAACCCAACGTGGGCTGTCAGCTGTCAAGGTCACACTGTAAGAGGTAATCAACAAATTTCAATACTAAAATTTGTAGAATTTCTCTGAAAACAGGACAATATATACGATGGCTGAGCGGTGACTGTCTTAATATAATAAGTTGTATCTAAATGCTATGAGCTTTAATCATATAAAGGATCTTGAAAAAGTTGCAGGAATGTTCATGGAAGCAGCTTAATAGTAAAAATACCAAACATACATTGCAGCTTCACAATAAAAGGCATTGTCAATGTTTTAGACAGAACACTGATTCACTGAAATTCATGGCAGCATTTTACAGCAAAAGTCATGCTGTTGCTGTGTGCATTAAACCATAAAAGGAAAACTGTCAGTTGTTGTTTTAGATCCATCACTGAAATAAAAATACTTGGTACCTATATACAACCAAAGTCCGCCTGTTGTTAAAGAGCTGCCAGATGGGTGAATAAGATATAGTCCCAAAAACATCAGATTGACCTTGAGATATGACCTTGAGCTTTGACCTAGTCAATGGTTTTTGCACACACCATGCTGTCTCATGATGTTGAACATTTGTGCCAGATTTTTTAATATTCCTCTGACTAGTGATAAAGTTATGGTACAAACAAGCTGTTTGAGACCATTTTATATACATTGAACCTTAAAGTAAGACCTTGACCTTTGACCTTGCTCCACGGTTCTTGCACACAACATGGCATCTCATGATGTTTAACATTTGTGCCAGATTATTTAAAATTCCACCAGCTAGTGATAATAATGATGTTGACAAGCCGAGACCATTTTATTTTCATTTGACCTTAAAATATTGACCTAGCCACACAGTTCTTGCCCGCAACATGCCACCTCGGGTTGTTATACAGTTGTGCCAGGTTATTTGAAATTCCGCCAGCTAGTGATAGAGTTATGGTGCTGACAAGCTGTTTGAGACCATTCTTTGGCATTTTGACCTTAAAATATGGCCTATGACCTAGCCACACGGTTCTTGCACGCGACACATCAGCTCTAGTTTTTGAACATTTGTGCAAGGTTTTTTGAAATTCCACCAGCTAGTGACACATTTATGGTTTGGATAAGCTGTTTGAGACCATTTTAATACATTTGACCTTAAAGAATGACCTTGACCTTTGACTTTTTTTTGCCTATTGGTTCTTGCACATTACACGCCATCTCATGATGTTGAACATTTGTGCCATGTTATTTGAAATTCCAACAGCTAGTGATAGTTATGCTGCAGACAAGCTGTTTGAAACCCATTTTAGCATTTGACCTTAATGTATGACCTTGACCTTTGACCTAAACACATGGTTCTTGGGCATGTCACACCGTCTCTATTGTAAACATTTGTGCTTAGTTATTTGAAATTCTGCCTTCAAATGAAAGAGTTACGATCCAGAAAATAATAATCTTGTTGGACGGGAACGCATGCACGTAAATACACCAAACCGCCATTGTGACAACTATCTCGATCTCTCCACAAGCTTACATATAGATTTTATTAATGTATCTCAAAGAAAATAAAAATAAGGATATTTCACCTGTCAGGATCTACTGCATTGATGTCAACATAAAAATTAAGGAACGCTCCCCCTGCCAGGTATCCAATGGCTGGTCCCAGTATTGTAAATGCATAAAATATACCTACAAAATATAGAAAAACAAGAGCTGTCAGAAGGACAGCGCGCTCGACTTTTTTAGTGCTTGCCTATTAAACAAAACTTTGACAGTTAAGGGCACACAAGACTTTAACTAGGAATTTCTAAGTACAAATCAAGAAACATTTTCACAGAGTTATCTTCTCTTGCTTACAGATAGGTCTCATGATGGCACATAAGAACTCCAACTTCCAAAGTAATATCTCAAATGGTTAGGTCAACAAGTGGACAAGAATGAAAATTTTAACTGAGTTTCTAAGTCAAAAAGGGCCATAATTCAAATAAAATCCTTAACAGAATTACCTTCTCCTGCCTATGTTTGGGACCATGATGGTAAACAAGTATTCCAACTTTCAATTTAATATCTCAACCAGTTCAGTCAAAAAGTTGACTGGTACAAAAAACTTAACCAAGATTCTAAGTCGATAAAAGGCCTTAATTTTTAAAACAAATCCCTGACAGAGTTACCTTCTCTTGCGTACAGATGGGGGTAATGATGTGAAATAGCATTAAAAGTTTCAAAGCAATATCTCAAAGGGTTAAGGCAATAAGTGGATTTTACCCATATTCAATGTATTTTCTAAGTCAAAAAGGGGCATTATTCTGTCAAAAACCTTGACAGAGTTATGTCCTCTTGTCTGTTTGATGAAGGTCGTGATGGTAAACAAGTATGGTCAGTTTCAAAGCAATACCTCCAATGGTTTTGAAATAAAGTGAGGTGGTACAAAAAACTTAACCAAGCTCAATACACTTTCTAAGTCAAAAAAGGGCCATAATTCTGTCAAAAACCTTGACAGAGTTATGTACTCTTGTCTGTAGATGGAGGTTATGATGGTGAACAAGTATGGTAAGTTTCAAAGCCATACTTGTAATACTTCTGAAATAAAGTGGGGTGGTACGAAAAACTTAACCAAGGTGTGACGCCAACGCCGACGCCGGGGCGAGTAGGATAGCTCCCCTTTTCATAGAAAAGTCGAGCTAATAAATATTTTAATGTCAAGCAAACTAAAGTAAATTACAATCAATCAGAATAATAATACATTATACAGAATGTATCAAAAAATTCTCTTCATCACTTATTTTGAAACTTGTACTGTTAGGACGATTAAGACAAAGTAATTGAAATCAACAATATGAAAATTTCAAGCAAACACATAACTACAATGTATAGTAGAATGAATGATATATAACATTTCTTATTACTCCCTTTGCCTTAAATTTTTTTAGATTTATCTCTAATCTAACTTCTAAATGTAAAGGATGAAGTTAAGTCACATAATTATCATGATGAACAGCCTGTAGGGAAAGAAGAAAGATAAAATATAGCTGCTATTAATGTTCAATAATTTTGTATGTAAAAAAAAAACAACAGTAATTATTCATCTGATGAGATCTTTGTTAAATTCTATCATTCAATTGAATACAAGGACTATCAAAATGAAATTTTGATAAATTCATACTGTTCACTGTGGCACTACCTTTAAGCCTTATACTTACCAAAGTAAAATGATGAAGATCTTTGCGGTACATTCTCATCAATATAAGTAGTTCCTAGGGTATACAAGGGTGCTGCACCTGCCCCATGTAACAATTGTCCGAGAAAAAACACATATTTATAATTAGACAGAGTAACAGGCATGCTGTTTGAGTCACATGAGATCGTATCATTCGCCAAGATATCACAGGTAGTCCTTAATCCAGTATCGTCAACTTTATACAGATCTGTCAAAAACTGCGGTAACGAGAACACGATGGAACCAATCCCCATGATGAACACGCCGATACCGAGGTAACGGGGCTTGCACCCGAAACCCCCAAAATAGCTGACTGGTATAAGGCAGAGAACAGAAGCGACATCGTAACATGATGCGATGGTTCCTGATACCGTAGAGCTGAGATCGTATCTACGCTCGATATTTGATATTACAACATTGATGAAGCCATTCACTACCATTCCCTGAAATTAGAAAATATGAACTATTCACTACTATGTCCAGGAAATAAATTAAACTATTCATTACCATTTGCTTTCAACAATTTGAAAATAGAAAAAAATCCCTATAATTTCATGAAATTGAGAAATTATCAACTTTTAATGCCATGCTTTGCTGGAAACACATGACTTTCTCTTACATTTTCTGGGGGAAAAAATACATTACAGTATACTTTTAAGAACCTTAATTAAATAAAATTCATTGAACATTTGTGTATAGATAATCACTGGTAAGTAGTTTGATTTTGTTTGATTTAGAATATTCAGAAGCAGCCTGTGAATAATAGGGATTTCAGATTTTGTTACCTAACACTGGCACAGTACTTGTTTAATGTAAGCAAAAATGATGTACTAAAATTGTAAGGAGTTTTTGCTACTCATCCTAGAGTTTCAAGCATATTAATTAAAGCAAACAAAACAACTTCATATCTTTTTGTACTCTGTCAAGTTCAAAGAATTCAATTAAATATATTATTATTTCTTTGTACTCTTCCATGATCTAACAATTTACTTCAATATAATACAATAATTAATTTGCAATTATCTTTCTTATGACCAACACTACAAATCTTTATTCAATATGTTAAATATCCCACCTGTTAACTTTTAGGTACAAACAAAAAGAAAATTACAAGATTTCCCAGTGCCATCTTTAGCCCGATAAAAAGCTGCAAGATGTACTTTATTCATCCTTTAAAGAAGAGTACACAAAAAATCTAGACTTCATGTCAGAAGACATCAAAGACCTTTTAAGTAAGACATCATATATGAAGTACGACAGTTCAAACAGCTGTAGTAAGGTCTAAAGGACTCATCAATGTAAATTGATCATCAATACCTATGACATAGAAAACATGAGCGAAATACCTGTGACATAGATAACATGAGCCAAATACCTATGACATAGATAACATGAGCCGAATACCTATGACATAGAAAACATGAGCCAAATACCTATGACATAGAAAACATGAGCCAAATACCTAGGACATAGAAAACATGAGCTAAATACCTATGACATAGAAAACATGTGATCTAAATACATAAGAAATGGATAATATGAGCCAAATACATGTGGCATAGATAATATGACCCAAATACCTATGACATAGAAAACATGAGCCAAATACCTATGACATAGAAAACATGACCCAAATACCTATGACATAGAAAACATGAGCCAAATACCTATGACCTAGAAAACATGAGCCAAATACCTATGACCTAGAAAACATGAGCCAAATACCTATGACACAGAAAACATGAGCCAAATACCTATGACATAGAAAACATGAGCCAAATACCTATGACATAGAAAACTTGAGCCAAATACCTATGACATAGAATACATGAGCCTTTGAGTATCTTCAGAAAAACAGGTCAAGGTTAAATTTTAGTTTACCTCTAACCTAGAACCCTCTAAATTTGAGAAACGGATTTGCCAGAAAGCTTTGAATTTGGAACAGTCCACCCAAGGGATATCAATATCAAAAATACAAAAATTGAGCCACCAACAGAATAATGAGTACAAAGCCCTGTGGTGTTGTTAGTTTTATTTGGTAGTTTACCCTAAAGATCAAGGCAGTAAGTCACTTTGATGTGCAGGCTTCAGAGCTCTAAGACACGATGATACAGAATTACTTTTTCTCAAAGTAAAAAACAAATATTATTAAAAATACTCGCCATACTTCAGAGATGCCCACAAAGAAGATACATTTAGAACCCTCATTCCCTAATCAGATAAACTAAACAGATAGGATCATAAGACTGCCTTTTAGACAATTCAAAACTAGCAGGAAGACCAGATTAACTAGAAGCCATCCAACATGGCACTTTAGATAAGGGACCACTTCATCCTCACCTACATTATCATAGGGACATGTCTTTGGAAATAAAACATGGAGTTTGAGTTAATTTTGTGGTTTTCTAATTTTGATATAAAACAGGGAGTTTGAATCAAATTTGTGGTTTTCTTCTTATCTTTCACAGCACACGCAGCAATAAAGAATTGTACCTTAAATTGACACCAGTGTCATATTATCCCAAGACTGTGTACTGTTGAGATCTTGACTTTAATCTTTAAATAATGGATCATTCCAAATTGAAAGAAGGGCATTTCCATTTAATAACACAACTTAGGGTCATGGTTAAGTTGCTTACAATAACTAACCTGAAACTAAATTTGTAAGTTTATTTACTGTATATAAGAGTTTTCAATATCAAAATTACATTAAAGCAGCCTTCAGTATTTTTTCAAGGTCAAATATGTTATTTTTAGATAAATTTTTTTCATATAAATTTAAAATCAAAAGAACTAAACTTGAAAATAAAATTGCTGCTGTTAAAATACATAAACAATAAGGAAACCCTTCAATACCCCTTATCTGCCTGTCCACTTTCTATATACAAATTTGCAAAGTGGCCAGTTCATTTCCAGACCTTCTACTTCTAGTAACAAACATCACTGACGCATTATAAATAGCTCTTGGGACCCTGTTTTTAAGAAAGACATAGTAGTGTGATATGATATGCACTTTTCAAAGATAAAATTACTGAAATACTTTCAGAACTGTTTTTCTAATATAAAAAACACTTAAGGCTGCTTTAAAATTAATACATGTAATTCAAAATTATACAAGTCTGGCTGGCTGAGGACTGCTAAGATTAGAAGTCAACTGTCCTCACCCTATCCTGGTGGCATTATGATTGCTTTCATTGCCTCTTGCATTCCCAGAGGGTTAAAAAGATCAATCTATTCCCCCATTACCTCTGAAAAACCACTATACCTTTTAACCATAGATAATAATTTTGGATCAAAGTGGTTAAAAGCACTTGTGTTGAGACAGGGCCACTTGATGCAGAATATAAACAGGCACCGGCACTTGTGTAGTTTATTTAGCTGTTTAGGTAATTAGCTTCCCTATATTCGTTTCATAAAGCAGGTGGGTTTATTTTTGTAAAAGGGGATAATTGGAATCAGGATAATTTATGCCACACATTCTCTAAATTATCCCACTTAATGCCAATAAAACAAACAAGTTTCTCTATATTCCATGGCTTCAAAGCAACAAGGTATTAACTCTGGTAAATTTGTATAATAAATAATGGTAGAATGGTAGGGATTGTATGATATAATTATTTGGATTTGATTTGATAGGGCATGATCTTTGAGCCTATGATTTTAATATCTAACAGCAGGAGAAAGGATGAACATAAAATGAATGATCCATACAGAATGTTATATGTTTATAATAATATGATGGTCTTATAATAGTTTATGTATGTGTAAGAATAAGTCGAAAGATCAGAGCAGGGAAGAGAAGAAATTTTATTCAGTCTTAATTACATGTATATTATATTATTAGTTATAAAGATTGTTGACAGGTTATATGTAATATAATATACATAAACGGCTATTTGTAATAGCAACTCTGGTTATATTGCAAACAGCTGTTTATATATGGCCATATAACCTGTCAACAATCTTTATAACAAATTTATAATACAGCAAGCATCATTTTTTAGAGAAAAAGTAAGATTTATTCATGAATCGACAGCAGCCATGTATATAAAACTATATAAACTCATGATTATCCAATGAAAAGCATTGTTTCAAACATGCAGTATTATGAAATTCAATAAAGTTTACTTTCAAAAATTAAAACCAGTGCAATCTGTGGTTCATAGTTCAATATCAAATGTTATCTTTCAAATAGTCTCTTAATTTGAATGATTAAATTTTGCAATGAATTTTGTTATTTCAGCAACTTGCATCAAAAACTTGCAATGGTTTTATTTTGAAGCCTTATGTCAAAATTCTGTAAAGGTATTACTTTAGGGACTTGCACCAAATTATTTATTTCAGAAACTTTCCCCAAAATGTTGTGAAGATCTTTTATTTCAGAGTCTTGTACCAATTTCTGGCAATGCTTTTACTTCATAGACTTATATGTATACACCAACAGTTTGCAATGTCAAAGACTTCAAACAAACTTTTGCAATTATGCAGTAATTACAGAAACTTAATCATACTCAATTTTGTAAGGATTTTATATCAGAGACTAAATGCATCAACAAATTGCAAAAGACAGTAACTTCAGAGATTTTCACTAAAGGTCTGCAAGGTTTTCAATTTTAGAGATATTGAAATACTAGACATCTTTGAGACAAAAAATGCTGCTCAAAACAATCAAATAATAAAAGTTGAAATTTTCTTATCATCCTGATATTTTGACTTTCACATAACAGATAAACTACCAAAAAAGCAGCAAGTCCAAGGTTGCCACTATAAGCCTAACTGTTTCAATATCACCAATCCAGAAAACTATCAACTGCTACCTAAAATTTTTCAATTCCCTGACTCAGCATTAATTTTTCAATATCCCCAACCTTGAAACCAACAAAACCATTCTTACTCCGCATAATTATTATATTTCAAGAATTGTTGAAACTTGGTGGGTTTTTTATTTTCCCTTCAAATTATCGGAAATGAAAATCTTGAACAACTAACAACTGGAAGCTATTTTCTGCAACAGTGAGTATGGAAGATGTTTATATAGAGATTGGGATCAAAGTACATGTAAATTGACAGGTGCCCCACCAATTAGATGTTATGATATGAGATTATACACATGTCATACACTGACTTTCTGGTGCATTTAAACCATTTAAACTCGATTTACCTCTACCAATCATTATCATTAGAGACAGGTAAATGAATATAATATGTATAATGGTGTTAACCATTCAACTTGCTGGAACCAAATGTGATAAGCATTAATGCTAGCTGTATAGATCAAGCAATGCCAGGCTGCACTGATAAGTATAGTCTTACCAAGGCTAGCTTGAGCACAAATTACCATTTTTTGATAACAAATTGCCATTTCTCAGCAAAATATTTCCTTTTTTCTAGCATAAATTGCCATTTTTCAAGCACAATTTGCCATTTTCCAGGCACAGATTGC